GGATTATCGGTTACCGTTAATTGACGGTCGAGCGCAATGTATCGTGCAGTCTGTTCCCGATCGAAACTATTATCGGGTCGACGAATATCACGACGATACCTGTCACGGTGAGAAATAACACGATCGGTCGAATCGAACAAAAGAATTAACGGAAAAACCGTGGGATAGTGTATCACGCTTCATAAATATCGCTGCCCGTAAATCAATTAATTGACATGCCGTGTATATATCGGACCCGTGTTGTGTAAAATGTTTGCCGGCTCACCGATTGTTCATTATGAAGTTCGATGCATTAACGATCGATCGAATATATTACGCAGTAGGCGTATCATTGCGCGACTGCATTTTAATAAATAAATATTGTATATACTTATACATTTTTTCTTTTTTTTTTTTTTTTTTTTTTTACATAAACGCCCGTTTTCTCAGGCAGAATTTTTCTCGGAATTATTTTCAAGTAGATGTTCGAGATACGCTAGATTAGTTGTCTTAAGATAAGCAAGTTACTGCTAGTTTGATAACATCCATGTTACCAACAACAAACAAACTATGATGCTTACACCTATATCTATCCATTATCCATTAATGCAGAACGGTATAATTAGATGCACATTAAGCAAACAATTTAGCTATAGCGTTGGTGCGCAAATTAGCATCTGTATTGAACAATTGTGTATTAGACATATTCGCTTTTTTTTTTTTTATAAAGCTTTTCTCTTTCATACTCTTTTGCGACCCCTTTAACAACGTGTCGCACTTAATATTTTAAATATGTAATACATTTAAAGAGAAACTTGCCTCTCTCGCAAAAATTTGACGGCATTTCGCGAATAATTTATTAAAATTTTTCACAATTATTTTCATTCTCCATTCTCTTGCTTCTTGTCGTAGCTTCTTATCACAAATTCTGTATCTCTATCTCTTTTTCCGTTATTCATCCTTCTCTAACCGAAGCCGCAATGGTGGCGGGAGGAACTTGCTGATTGGGAAGCTAATCACGCGCTACTCTCCATTACATTAATTAAAACTTAGCTCTCAACTCTACTCGGCTTCCACGTCACCCACCGTTCTATCCGCGTTGTCCTTTTCTTCCTCTCATCCTGCTCTTGTTCTCGCGATCATTTTGTCTCCGCTCGTTCGTCTACCTATCCACGTATGCCAGCGCTTGTATATATATAGATATATATGTATACATACATTTATCAAAACTGTTAAAAAATTCTACAAAGTCTTATTAATCGTCTTCATTCGATTGAGTGCATGTCTCGTTAAACTATCTTTATACAATTCGTTGATTATTAAAATTAATTAAGAAAGATTGGGAACTTTATTTAAACAATGTGAAAGAAAAAATAGACAACGATTTTAGCACTATTTATTAAATGATGCCAGTGACAAAGCAGGCTCATCGTTTATTCATATCCGCTCCTTGCAGGGAGCAACCATGATTTTCTTAGCAAGCATTTTATATATATAGGAGCGGATATGAATAAACAATGAGCCTGCTCTGTCACTGGCATCATTTAATAAATAGTGCTAAAATCGTTGTCCATTTTTTCTTTCACATTATTTAAACAAAGTTCCTAACCTTTCTTGATTAATTTTAATAATCAACGAATTGTATAAAAATAGTTTAACGAGACATGCACTCAATCGAATGAGGACGATTAATAAGACTTTGTAGAATTTTTTAACAGTTTTGAGAAATGTATATGTATTAGATTTCTTAGTAATATTTGATTAGGATGTATTTTTTCGATTTTGTACGCGCTGAAGAGAATCCAAAAAAGGACAGAAACGTTCGCGATTTGTGTAAATGTAATTAATATGTATTAAATAAATCTAATAAGTTGCGCTTCAATTACTGCGCTGGTTCTTTGGCTAATTTATACCATTAATTTATTGTACGGAACCTTTTTATGTATATTATTTTGATTAATTTTGTTTCCACAAAGTCGAAATAATTAATTGTAAGAATAATTTATTTAATGAGAGAATTATTTTTGTTAAATACAAACAATTTCAATTAAATTTAGCATTTTGGTCAACTTTTCAGGAAAAAAAAGTATTTTACATTCGACAAAGAAAAGTATTACAAAGTTAGAGTGTTGTATAAATGGAAAGCGTCCAGTAAAAATACTACTATTAAGACTTATTTAGTTTGTGTTTCCTATCTATTACTCGCGAGAGTTTTGCTTTCAGAAGTTGCTCCCAAGGGTTGCACTTTCAAATGGATACCGTTTGAGAATTACTCTCAATTCAACGTCTACTCTTATGTCCCCACGTCCCATAGTGATTTACTGTTGAGACTTGTTCTCAAATTGCGAAACTCCAAAGCTTAAAGTACATAAATTTTTAACTAGCTATTCATTTATAAAGAATATGTAAATAGCTATCGGTTCTTACGAAAATTCTACATGTATCTCTCGCTATATTGATAAAAAAATGTATCTTTGACGGCTATCAATATAATCGTTTCTTTTTTTTTTTTGATAGCATTTGTAATCGATATATATTCAATAACAAGAATCGCGAATATATATCGTCAGAATTAATCCGCGAATTAGAACATTCGTTACACACAAAAAAATGTGTATGTTGTAAAACCGCTTTGCCCATCCGAAGCAAATCCCTACTCGACCCAATTCGAGGGTCGTATATCCGTGAGCTTTTTGCAGAAATAAAGGGCAGAACGCGAATTGCGAATAAATAACCGGCCGCACCGTTAATAATGATATTTACATCGAATGTTGAATTATATTACACAAAAGCGCGCGCGACCGCGATATAAAACGGGAAAGGAAATAGATCGCTCTCGCGATTCTATATCGCACAGAGTCCCACCCGTCTATTTTTCTTCGCTCATACATTCATCTTCCCAGGAGAGCCAATAACGACCGCGAAAAACAGCTTCTCTGCCCGCTAATGTTACGATTATGGCCGTACGTTCAATCAAGTCGAACGATCGGCACAAGTGCTCGCGATATATAACGACATTCAATATATACAGAATAGTCTGCGATAGAATATCCATAAATCGAAGACTACGTCGGATTGGCTGGAAAATTACCTTAATTATCGAGTAAAAGTTAAACTCTGAGCTATGAATATCGCAGGACATCTCGCGATAGATATATATACATATATATATATATACATATATCCGCGATCGAAGTGAGTCCGCACTTTAACTTTACCTTCGATGAGAAGGTACATACACGGGGGAGAGATCGGGAGAGGAAGGCGATGAACGGTAGCAAAATTGGAAAAAGTGCCGATCAAACAAAATTAATTGGGTTCTCTCCGCGCGAGAGCTACAACAAAGCAACTCTCTCTCGCTTCGAGCGCGAACGAGCCGATTCTGCGAGTGCTTCTCGCAGTCGCGAACGATTTCGCCCCGGAACTTTACCCTCGTCCGCGGCGGGCCGCGATATCGTTTCTGTAATTCTAACGCGGGATAAAAGATCGTGTTTGACTAGAAACTACGGCAAAAGTATACAGACAGACAGATGGTGCGGTCTATCCTCCGACGAAATATAACGTGTGGATCTCTCTATACATATATATACATATATATATATATATATATAGACGTGCGCGACGTGCGGATTTTGCGGAAACTGTGCAAATGGAAATATAGGGAAAATTCTGGTTACGGAAGAGCACACGATCGGGCCAATGAAAAATGTTTTCTTTTCCATAACGTGACCGGAGAACTCGTCGTTTCAATTATTTTTCAACGCTGTTGATTCGCGTCGGAGAAACATGGCGATATGAGATAATCTCGTTACATACAACATTGAAAAGTTTTTGCCGAAAATATCGAAAAATATTTGAATAATTCGTTTTGTTAATTTTATATCAGCGAGGAGAAAAGAATTAACATTTTTTCCCCTCTGTTTTAATTAAATTTTATTTCGTTAAATTTTATAACGTTAATGAAAGATTCGAACCAGAGACAATTATATATTTATACAGAGCGATATGAGATTTTCTCTATCATTAAACTTTCGTCGAATATTTCATTAAAGTAACATATATAAAATGTAATACTCGATATAAAATGTCGTTCCACGTCTTACGAGCCACTTTTCACGAAATGAGCCGTAGAAAGTCTCTCTCTCTCTCTCTCACTTTTTGCGAGAGAGGAACTCTGGAAGTAACTGTCGCACGCGATAGTTAGCGCGCTATAGCGATCGTAATTATAACTTACACGCGACTTTTATAACGAACTGAAAAGCACCGCTTTTTCGTGCGGTGGACCATGGGATGGAAAAACCGGGGGAGAACCGGTTACTCGCCTCGGGGCTCTCGTTCGCGCGCGCGTGCGAGAGAGAGAGAGAGAGAGAGCGCGCGCGGTTTCTATTTAACATTTAGTCATATGTCCCGTGCATTCGTCGACTATGCATTCGTCGTAAATCCCGTCACTACATACACCTTACACACGTGCAGCAAATGCGGCAGCGGATGGTAAAGGTAACATATATATATATATAGACTATATATATATGTATATATATATATATATATATATATATATATATATATATATATATATATATATATAATATTGTATATACACACACATATATGTATATACGAGAGATACACGAGAGCACGCGTGCGCTGGCGGATCGCTCGTTCTCTTCGATCTCAAAGCCACCCCTGCTCCGGTTTCACGGATGGAATTTCAGGAGAAACGTTTTATACGGCGAGTGCTCTCTTTCTCTCTCTATCTCTATCTCTCGGCTGGCACGTCGCCTCGAGCGCTTTGTCGGAGGGCAGTTAATTAATAAAAGCTGGAAAGAAGGGAGCGCGCACAGGAGCAGCCAGGCGTTGATTCGAGAGAAGGAAAGAGAGGAGGAAAGGGAAGGATACATATATATATATATATATATATATATATATATTCGATGGTAAAAGGATAGAATACTATACTATCGTTTCATATCGTTCGATCGGTCAAACTCTACTTGCAATTCAAACGAGGGAACACTCACACGTCGTGAACGAGAAACTTGTCGCCGATCCTGTCCCTGCAGACGCCCTTGCTGGTGATTTCGGAGCCGTTGACGATCACCAGATCCGCGATCCCGGACTGGAACCACCGGCCGTACCACTCCTCCGGGAACGTGCAGACTGAAAGCAGAAAGAAATGGGGTTATATAAGAGGGAGGGAGTTGAAAAAGCTGCCCGCGAGCGAGATGTACTCGCTCGGTCGGCTAGTTTCCAGATTTTAATCTGAGGATCCTGAAACTGTCCGCACCCCGGTAACGCAAAACAATTCATACAGTCGTGTGCCCTACGATATTTTCCAGCCGGCGGGCTTGTACGCGTCAGGATTACCGTTCTTCAACAATCCGGGGTTAAGAGAAACGTAATGAAACAATTGTAACTGGTGTTTCTTTCCGTTCTCTCGGAAAACGAACCGCGCCGGAAATGTCGAGACTCGCGGAATTATTTTTGCGCGAGCTCAAAAGTCCATGTTTCTCTTCGAAATCGAGGAAAGAAGATACATATAATCTATTGTCTATTTCTACAGATCCGGATATAGCTACAGTTATAAAATATGATCCTTATATCGCGTAATACACGAGATCTTTCGTTTTCTTCAAAGTTCCGGAATTCAACATCTGAGAAATAGTGGAGAACACGGAGAGATATAATTATAAAATAATATTTTTCTCAAATATTTTCCATGCCCTTGTACGGTTTGATATAGAATTAATGCGATTATAAGAAATTTTACTCATTCCCATTTTTCCATACTTTTAAATAGTCGAAATAGTGACTCTAAACCATCATTGTTGATGTTGCTCCGCCATTGCGGAAGAGTCTTTTTCCTTCCTATCTCCGGATGAGCGTCTTTTCCGCCCGGTTTTTTATGGGCCGCGAGCGTAAATCCGAGATTCCGCGAATATTTCGGATTCTCCTCGGCAAGGGAGTCCGCCGCGAGCTCAAACGAAGTTGTAAAAATGGAGAATCTCCTTAGAGATCGGATTATCGCAAGCGAGGGCGAGAGATAGAGAGAGAGAGAGAGAACTGTGCCGATTCTCTTTCCTCGTCGCTAGAGCATTCATCCTTCTCGGTCTGCGTTCTCTCTCTCTCTTCTCTCTCTCTCTCTCTTTCTTCACGTTTGCATCTCTAGCAACGAGGATTACAACGAGGAGCGACATCGCGATTAAGCATTGTTTGCCGGAAGCATTTTGCATTTAATAAGTCCAAGTGTTTCGGAATCCCGGATGAGCGGAGAATCGACTGGGAGAGAAAAGGGGGTACGAGGGAGGGGGAGGGGGACAGGAAAGACGACGAGGAATCTTGCGAATTCGCTATAAGAAGATACCCCGACTTCCTTCCTCCCGCGAAACTGCGTTTCGAAGTTGCGAAAGCGGAGTCGATATGCGGGATTTATTAATATATTCGAGAGAGAAATTTTTGGAAAATGAAAACGTTTTGTAAATTAACGGCATTTCATGCGAGTCCCTCATCCTCTCTGCCTATCGGATTGGTTTCCGGACACGTTCGGCCATTACCGCGGCTCTTAATTTCCAACCCGTTCCCGTAGATTACGTTCGGACTGCAACGTGTATCGAGTATCCCCGTATTTGTCAGTATCTAATAGCAGGTATATCGCATGACTGCGTTGTTTCCAGTCACTACTGCGTCTTCAGTTACATTAATGTAATGTCCATAAGCTCCGCGCTATGCATTCTCCAAGAAATTCCATCTCTTCATTAATGACGATTAAATCTAAGATCATATGTTAGCTATTGCTCTTCTAGATTACAATATTCGAAGATTTAATCCGATTCAGCAAATCAGTTTGAAAAAATTTTAAGTTGTGTTTCCTATAAAATGATAAAATTGTCTGCTTTTTCAGACGATCAGCTGGTTTTTTATTTGAATTGTCAAACATGTCTGAGCGAAACAAGCCAAAAGTATAAGAGCACGATTTACTTATCCGAGTTGAAATTTTACTCCTATATTATTATCTTCCTATAATATTATTATCCTAATTATTCCTCATAGAATGAGTTTCTACTTTGTACTTCAAGTAAACAATAAACAAACAATTTAAAGTTTAGAACACTTAGAAGTTTAAGAAAGAAACTTTTGCCAAAACTATGGATTAAACAGTTTCAAAAGGTAGACCGAATTGATTTGATATTTAAAGCATCTAAAGAACAGACATTAAAATTCGACTCGAATTGCGATATTATATCGACGTGTGCGAGGTATCGCCGACCTTTACCGGGGACCGGACGGGAGAAAGAATTAAGGAAAATGAAAGGAAAAAAGCCGTGGAAAGAAAGTTCGAGGAAAGGTGAGAGGATAAAAGAGAGAAGGAGAAAGTAGGCGGCCACGGTATAATTAACGGAAATTGGAGTTAGGTCAGAAAGCAAAGTTATCGGGGAGAGTTTCGTCGACAGAGAGAGAGAGAGAGAGAGCGCAGCAGCGCAACCACTTCGCGCAGGCGGACTAGCTTTTTCCGGGGCAGCCGCTGATATAATTACTAATTAATTACCGTTGCTGCCGCGCAGCGTTTCGGCGAGCGCGCTTAAAAGGATACTGTACGAACGGGGAAACGGAAGCAACTATAATCTACCTCCCAGATGACTCCGGGCGAAGCGACATTCTACGCATCGGACCGACGCTCGTCCATTATAACAGCCTGTCGATGCTGCATGTCCCCGGGCTGCGACTATTTTAATAGTCGACGTCACGCTCGCGGCCTTAGTCGATTCTTCATAAAATGACAAAGTTTGCGCGCGCGACTATTTTCATTTTCAAGGCTGACATAGAGACTTTCTTGTTTTTCCTGTACGCGAGAGTCAAGCTCGGGAGCTTCGCATCTTAGCGCGACGTATCGACGTATCGCGTCGATGAAAAGCGATCTCTGGTAGAGAGAAGACTGGGAAAGTCGACTTTCGAGAAAGTCATTTAAGATATTAAAGAGAGTGAATTTCGATTTCCTCTTCCGTTACTTACTCTTCCCATTTATACCCTATAAAACGTCCTCGTGCAAATTCTCTTGCCTTGCTGTAATTCATTCAAGTCGAGAAATAACGAATACAACTTATGCTCCTCGGAAACCTTACGAGCCCGCGGGGAATACCATATTGCGCGGCTCGTGGGACATTCTTTACGTCGATGCTTTTTTCGCGACGGCAACACATTTAACGTCTTTACGTATGGTACGATCTTGTCATAAAGATCGCGCCGCGAGAGAGAACGATTCCGGGAAATAAGAGCGGATTAAAGCTCGACCCACCATCGCCCAAGCACTCGTATTTTCTGTAAACTGCGTAAACTTCTTCCTCGCGAAAGTGGGAAGGGTTCGTTGAAAAAGAAGAAGCTCGCACACTTGCGTAGAGAGATAGAGGGATCAAGAGCTCTTAACCATAAAAACGACCTACGAATCACCGGGAGATCGGTCTCCTCAGACGGGGGATCAAATTATTGTTCTTGTTCTATCTCGATCATCGCGATAAAATCCGCGTGACCGAAATACTCTATATCGAGAGGGATATATGTTTTGTTGTTATACAATACAATGACGCCGGAAGGAAAACCGGGGAGGCTCGAAAGATTAATCATGATTATTTTCAGAGTGTGTGTACAGAATTAAAATGAGAATTTATTTTAAAATGAAAAAAAACCCGTGTATAAGTTTTCCATCTCGATATATGATAATATTTGCACGTCGTTATTTTAGTTTGATTGAAGCTTTTTGCTTTTAGAAGAGAAAAATGTTTCTAGAATACATGTACAATTATAAACTTCTTATAATAAATCTGACGAAAAAGTAATATAAAGTCTAGCAAATCGCTGCGTCTCTGTTCTGTAACAATTTTTTGTGTCGGCGCTATATCTGTTTAAACTACTGAGAATTAAATTTTATATTAAAAATGAAACTTTGATGAATTTTTTGTAAACATAATGTTTTACAAACTACATATGAATTTTTATAGACACTCGAAGCGATAAATATCACGATTTCTAACAACGTTTCTCAACCAATATTATAAAAGAAATTAAAAGAAATAAATATTGTAGGCCAACTAAATGAGCAAAATTACATAAGATCTAAAGATTTATTAATAATTAAATTTTCATTCCATTAGAGAAACAATATACAACGTAAACGTTTCGACTGCACTACAGTCTTCTTCAATACATAAAATTCAAATATTAAATTACAAAGTTAACGATTCTTCGCTGGTGAACAATGGATAAGTAAGACGATTGGTCTGAGATTCCAAGTTATTAGTTTATTATAAAAGAATTTTATAAAATTCTTATCACATTACAGCAGTGATAAAATAAAGACAATGGATTTAAATATTAATGTATTAAAATTAATTTAAGCTGCATATAATTAATTCTCGTAAGTATATCCTTTGTAATTTTTTTAATTTAAATTTTTCCTTTTATTTCAGCTTACTCTGTAGTAAAACATTGCTGAAAATGTTTAACAATATCAAGAATAAAGTAATAAAAAAGGAGATTCTTACGAATGGACTTGGAGAAATCCAAAGTCCCTTAAAACTTGATAAAAACTTGGAAACTCACGTAGCCGTCCGTCGATCAATTCGTCATCAGAGGAGTTAAAAAATAGATTATCGAAGAAACACGAGAGGAAAAAGAAAGTAGAAGGCTACATACAGAGATTAGCGATTTATACTTAGCCGACGTTCGCGAATTATTGAAAAAATCACTCAAGTGTAAGATAGTTCGAGATAAACTTTTCGCACGGCGCAAAATATAGCCAACAATAATTCAGTACGTATAAAACTTTACAATCTCGCTATCCCTAAGAACCTACTCGAATAAAATAAGTAGAGTGCTATTACTTAGAAAAAAGAACTATATTTTTAATTTATAATTGTAGCAATTGTCAGACACAAATCGTAAAAGAGAAATTTGCAAGAAAAGCGTGAAACCAATAAATTGATCGCGTTTCTGGGGGAAAGACACAGACACTCATCGATTGTTTTCGAGTTAGAGCACTGTGACTTTCTCTCTCCAAACGGTTAATTCGATTTTTCTGTATACATTTGCGCATACCTACACGTCCTCGAGCATCTATCGCCGAGAATGATCGGGTTTCGGATGAAATAACTTGATTAAAATAATCT